TTTTGATAAAACACTGACCTCGCATTTGTGAAATGCGAAGTCTTCGAACTCGCATTTCACAAATGCGAAGATCATACTCCTAGAACTAGCTTCAAAAATTAACCCCCTTGTAGAACAACTTTTATTTTTCATAACAATTTAAGAATTTGCTCCTTTTGTACCTGCATTCTCTCCTCCTAATGAAGCATTGACATTTCTTGGCCCGTATGGTTCAATAATAGGATCAAGTGGAGAACAAGAAGGCAATAAAATATTCAAGTGCATGTGAGGTGGCATATCAGACAAGCATTCTTCTTCATAAACAACAGGCGTGTCATAAATGGAACAAAAAAGAATTTTAATGGAATATCGAGTTAGTGATCTAACAGTTATTTCTGTCTTCTTTTTGTTTACTGAAATAGTAAGAAACACACACACTCATACAATTAGAACAAGCACGAGAGTTAATGGATAAATCGGCCCGATAAACAAGCAATCTAAGGAGGACCCACAGAGTAATCCGATCCAGCCAATTGGTGACAGGACGGACACCCCATGGACCTTAAACCCAGGATAAAAACCCCACGATTTTCTGACGTGGGATGGTGACCCAACTCCCTGTGCACACCCTCACCATATTCCTCACCATATTAAATGGTTTGGTTTTTACTGAAACAGCAGTTATTTCTGTCATTGAACTGGTCTTGTTGGGTATAGATTTATTAAGGAACATTAGATGCAGTAAAATTATTGAAGTCAGAAATCACATATAGATTGCTAATGTTAGCTGTGGTTGTGGTAGGGCTTATGGTGAAAGTCATGGCTTGCGTTGTGATTCCAATTTCAGGTGTTCATCTTTAAAAACTAATAGAGTATTTGTTCATTTCATGTCTCATAAGATATATCCACATCATTGGTTTTTTTTTATGCCACCTGGTACGGAAGTACATATAGAGATTTTCAATTGAATATCTTTAATATTGCTTCTTTTTTTTTTTTTTTATTGAGTTTTGCAAGGACAACTTGGGTGGAGAGGGGATCTTGAATGGGCTTTTTTTTTATTTGATACTCTACAAATTGGATAAATATGTGCCTATAAAAAATAGATATCTGGTATGATAAATGATGTAATTTCAGTTTGTTTCAACTACGACTTTGAAATATGAAACTCAAACTTGGGAATTCGACTAATTTCCCTAAACAACTTTACTATCAAAATAACCCAAATCTATTTAATATAGTAGCATTATATTAAACTTACAGATGCTTTTTTAAAAAAGTTCATTAAACAAAAATTCTATCCACAGCCGAGCCTTGTGCCCCAAGTATTACCATAAATACCACTCAAGTTTCAACTTAGACAATAATCGAAAAACTTCGAAGCATCACAATTGACAACTCTTCAAGTTAAAATGTTAGAAAAATAACTACAACTATGGAATATAGAATATGGCTTTGACACGAATAGATTCACTTTCCTCAAGAAAATTTGCTCCCATTGTGGCAATTTCTTCTAGGAATTACAAAGCCAAAATCTAGAATTTCCTTATAGTAATATAAAAAAATTCTCCCAAGAATGTTTAGAGAATTTTCCAAGTTGATTAGTAGAAGAAAAAAGAAAAATGAAAGAAAAAGTTAAAAAGTGAGCAAATGATGTCTACACCTTTTATTTATAATCTGAAAATTTGAAGTCTGAATCTATTAAGTTATTAAATTGTTAAATATCAATTTAATACATTTGAGTGTATATCACATTAAATGATAAGTGAATAGCTTATCACTTATTTTTTGGACCAAATTTTATCTAGAAAATTAAGTGCTAATTAATTAATTTAGATGTTCAACTGTTTGTTATCAAACACATCTGAATATATTAAGATATGAACTTATTAATTTTAAATACTGAATTGAGTTATCAAACAGGACCTTTGATTAAATTCCAACATGGAAAACATCACTAACTGTATTAGGGTCGAGGAAAACATAATTTAATCAAAGGTTATTGATGTTTTACAATTTAGTTTAAAACATAAGGTGTCGTTTTGTATGTTTTGAAATTACGTGGGCTTTTCTGTGTATTAGGTATACCACATGGGGCTTTTTGTTTTTTGGTTTTTAACCCATTATATTATAAGCAATGTTTTGAAACTTGGACCGTTAATTGAACCGATGAGGTGTTCGGGTTAAACTTCAACTAGTTGAATTGGTTCAATCCTGGTTCAATGAACTTTTTAAAAAATAATTTATATATATATATATATGCACAAAATAAGGCATGCATTGGACTAATTTAAGATTTTATATGATGAAAATTTTAATATTTTCAAAGAACTTAGATTTTCACAAATAAATTTTTTAAATTATAAGTTGAAACAAATAAATTTAATCTCAATCTTAATTGAATTTACCAAAAATAATAATCTTAAATCCAATCCAAAAATACCACAATATTCTGAAATTATACAAAATTCACGTCTATGAGAATTAGACATTGTGAGTTTAAATTTTAATTTAAGTTTTTGATATTTAGATATTGCAACCTTAAAAAAAAAAAAAGAAGCTTAGAGTTTGGAGGAAGTCAAGAAAATAGAAAATAGAAATACAAACTTGATAAGAGGCAAAAAATGAGAAGAAAGTGAGTGAATGTGGCATTTAATAATTAGTCTTTAGGGTTAAGGAAAACCTATTCTTTTTTTAAAAAATTTCAATTTAATAGACAAAAACAAAAAAACCGTCGGTTCAATGGTTCAATCTGATTCGCATGGTTCAATTCTGTTTTTAAGTATAATCAATCCAAAGCATGAATCGGACCAGAGATACGATCGATTCACGGTCTGACCAGAAATACAAACTTGATAAGAGGCAAAAAATGAGAAGAAAGTGAGTGAATGTGACATTTAATAATTAGTCTTTAGGGTTAAGGAAAACTATTCTTTTTTTAAAAAATTTCAATTTAATAGACAAAAACAAAAAAACCGTCGGTTCAATGGTTCAATCCGATTCGCATGGTTCAATTCTGTTTTTAAGTATAATCAATCCAAAGCATGAATCGGACCAGAGATACGATCGATTCACGGTCTGATCAATTGAACCGGCCGATCTGGTCTGATTTTTAAAACATTGATTATAAGGGTTGGTTGGAGGCATACGCTGGATCACGAATTTTAATCCGAGATACGCTGCATTGGGAGTCCAGAAGTTTTAAAATCGAATTTTACTTCATCATGCTGAATAGTTGTGCTAAAAATTCAAGTATGGAAGTCAGGTTCCTTGAAGAAGGATGTCTACTGACTTTTGAAATTGTGCCAGGAGCGGCCCGTTCCTTGCTTGGCTCAAAAAAAAAAAAAATTACATTAATCACCTCTCTGTGCCCCAACTGGCCAAAAAATGTTTTTCTTTTTTTAGGTGCTGAATTTCGAAAAATGTTTATACTTATCCTTGCTAATTTGTAAAAGTTCAACATATGTAGGTGCATTCATATACTAGCAATAATATCCAGGGCGTTTTTCGAAAGTTGTTCAGGAGCAACTTCAGACCAAATAAGACACGATCTATGCAAGTTGAGGCCATCTCCATCTCTTATGATGCAGGGATCTTCCTTAATTTCCCTCTCAAATTTTAGTGCAGCTAAAGGAGAAACAAATCTCACCTCCAAAGCTAGCAAGTACTTCTTTCCTGAAGGAGAAAGAAGTAACCAAGAAACTTTCTGGCTGCAATCAAGGCCAATCAGTAACCAAGAAACCACCAGGCTACACTCTGCAGAAGGTGGCTGACTTGATAACTGGGCATAGGTGGAATAGGCCTCTGATATACAGGCTTTTTAAGGAGAAAGAAGCAGAAGATATTAAGTATTCCAATTAGTGTGGTTGACAAAGAGGACAGAACTTTCTGGCAAGATAACAAGAATGGCGAATATACTGTGCAGTCAGGTTATAGAAGAATATGGAGTAAAAAGCAGAACAAAACAGAAGTAGAACAGCAAGAAGATAGCACAAGCTATACTAATCCCAAGTCTCCTGTATGGAAAGTGTTGTGGAAAGTGCCTGTCAAGCACAAATGAAAGTGTTTATGTGGAAGTGCTTAAGTGATGGACTACTTGTAAATGAACTCATATGGAGGAGAACGCTCAAGGGGACCCTACTATAAAGGTTGAGGGGAAAGGATGGAAACAGTGGAACACATAGTATTTGAATGTGTCAGAGCTAAAAAGATTTGGAAACTAGCTCCCATTCAATGGGATGGAATCAAGGAATCATCTGGCAACTTCAAAAAATGGTGGTCATTAGTTATTGAAGCAAGACACAGACTGCAGGGGATGGACCACATTGCACTCATAGTAACTACACATTTGGAAAGCAAGGAACGAGAGAATGTTTGAGGCCAAAGTAAAGGAACCTGTGAGAATCATTACTAAGGCCAGTAATGAATGGCTAGAGTTTCAGTATCAGAAGCACATCAGAAACAGAAATACCACAGCAACAAATCCGGAGCAGAGTACTAAGAGTTGCAGTTTCAAGGCAAAAAAAGAGACATGTACTGTTGGCTATGGTATAGCCGCCAAGGACGGAGGATGATGCTACACAGCAAGTTGGGGACTAAAAGAAAAGATGACAGGATGCAACATCCAACAGGAAGCTGAAGCTATACGTTATGCATTAATCAAAGCCTTGGAACAGGGATGGACTGCAATTACATTTGAAACAACCAGTAAAGAGCTGCTAAATCAACTGCAAGGGAATGCGAATAAGAACAATTGCTGGAAGACATACAAGTGCTGAGTATTTTGTTTCAAATGTGCTCCTTTTGTTTGGTAGGAATAGAAAATACGAATCTTAGCTACATAATTAGTGCTCAAGCTCTGAGCAGAAATCAAGATGTGGAATGGACTTATCCAGTTCCACAGTGCTAAGATGCACAAATTGTAAAGTGTCCTTGAGTTTTTACTTAGATTGTACATACTTTTGGCATAAGCAATACAACTTATCATTTCGAAAAAAAAAGTACTTTCCTGAAATTTACTCTTTTTTTTTTTCTGGCTGGGATCGTGAAGAAGAAAAATGTGATGTTCAAGAATTCAACCATTCAGCAAATTTAGCGAGAAAGAAAAGATCAACAAAGTAGTTGAGACGTTGTAATCATCAGAAATTCATGTCGGTTTAGAAAAAGCAAAGAAATTTCTTATTGATTACTTTGATTATTTTTTCACTGTTTCATCCTCCCTTTGTAGTTGAGAAGTGCCAGTTCGAGTTCGGTATCGTCCATCAAGAAAAAATTTATTCCTTTTCACTAGGTAAGACTCTTCTGCATGTTGGCCTAGTTACCTTAGTTAAAGAGAGAAAAAGAACAGAAGGGACAAAAGAAAGAACTTTTTGAAAAAAAAGACAGGTTTTTGTGGCACTGTTGAAATCATCAGAAAAAGACAGGTTTTTGAGACACACATTAGTTAAAAATCCCGGGTTCAAAACCATGAATGAGCAGTACACATCTTCAACCAATGCTACGATGGAGTACTACTCTATCCTGATGAAGCCATGCAACGCCTTTCGAGATCCCAATTCCAATTTCCACCTTTAAAGACCATGCTATGTTCTTGACTTAAACCTGTCTGTTTTGAGCAGAAAAGAGAAGATCATAGAGGTTTCCTTTTGACATGAATTTCCAAATTGTGCGGGGTCTCATTCTTTCAAGAATCATGAGCTCAAACATAAGTAGTTAAAGAATTGTGTCAAAATGATGGACTTTCAAACTCAAAAATTTTTAAAAAAAAATGAAAAAAGTTAACAGAGTTTCTTGACTGCAATTAACCAAACATTTTGCTGTAATACCTCGCAGTTGTCCCTATTTTCCCAGTCCCAATTCAGCAAATTCACACATGCATGAAAAGCTATCGCACGCGACAAATCAATAAATTCAGCAACTCAAAAATTACACAAAATACGTACACATATATTTTTCTTCCACTGTTTTCTTCTTCCATACCAACAGCAAAATATTTGATTAACCTTTATGCTGCCCAGACTGATAAAATGGTGCACGGTGTGCAAATACATTGATTCTTTCCACCATATCTTGAAAAGAAAAGAGCCATATCTTCCCACAAAAACGCCAAAGAAAACCAGGCCACACGGATAAGCAATTATAATCTCAAGAGGAAAAGTTATGTAAATCCCTGCCGATATCAATTAAGAAAAAAGAAAAAGAAGAGCAATAATTAGTTGTTTGTTCAATCAATATCATTAAAAAAAAAAGGAAAAAAAAAAGCAATCATTAGTTGTTTGTTCATCAATTTCAATGTCCTTACAGGCAACTGAGAGTAAAAAAGTACAAAGCCACCAAAATATAAATACATAAATAGAGAAATAAGAGGAAATCTATCAAATTCATTTATTACAAAAATGCATAATAGTTTCTGCAAGCTAATTATTGATAATGAAAAAAATTACTCCCTCCGTCCCGTTTTGTTAGTCTTGGTTTTTTTTTCACACAGATTAAGAAAGTGTAATTAATTTGGTTGGAAACATAAATTTAGATTAATAATTTCCTAAAATACCCTTATGCTAATCAATGTAGTCAATGTATTGGAAAAGCTCAATGTATTCAATGTAGTGGGTTAGTATTTAATAACAATGTATTAATAACAAGATATTGAATAAGGGTATTTTAGACAATTTGAAAGATTGCTACATTTCTTAATGGGAAAGTGGACTACAATTTGGGACAGACGAAAAAGGAAAACAAGACTAACAAAGTGGGACGGAGGGAGTACCTGATACTGCACCAGCTGATGCCCTTCAATATGTTTCATAAATGATCTTCAGATTCTCATTTCCATAACTTTTCTGTGCTTCTTCAATTTCCATTACCAAAGATTTGACATCATTCCTGCATCTCTCCATCTTAATTGTTTCAAGAGTTGATATACGCCCTAAACAAGCAGGCACCATTTCCAAATGTCTAATTTGGTCGAGTTTTAATTGCTGAAGGCACGGGAAGTAATCATCACTGTCAGGGTCTGTCTCTGTCCACTCCACAATGTCTAATTCGGACAAAGTCAAGACCCTGAGTTTAGGAAAACCTCCTTCCATCAGCTCCCATCTTTCGCCGTCCAATGTATAGCATCCTATTTTGAGGACCTCAAGATTGGGTAGTTGTTCAATCAATGACATTTCACTACAGGGAAGACCCAAACCGAAAAGAGACAACTTTTTCAAATTCATGGGAAAAGAAAGCTCAATATGACCCTGAGGACCAGAGCAGCAGCATACATCTAACTCTAAGGTGAGTGATTCTAGACATTCTAGTCGACTCATGTTCAACACTCCATTTCCAGTCTGACCATCGGAAATTGCAAGGCGGCGAATGTTGGGAATCCTTCTCAATAAGTTCTCTGCTTGATCAAAAGAAAGATACAGATCGCAGAGTGTGTCTAAATTGGGTAAAGTGGAGACGTTTTCAAGACCGTTGTCATTGGAAGAAAGAGGAAAAACAAAGCAGCCATCCCATACATGTACATGCCTCAACTTCTTCATGTTCCAGATGCTATCTGGCAATGAAACCGTCTCAGTAGATCTTAGACAAAAGGTTTCCAAATTTGAGAGCTTGGCTATAGACGGTGGAATGAATTTCATCTGCAGAGCTTTAAAGGCTAAGTACGTCAAACAAAGAAGTGATTCGATTTCAGTGGGAAGCTCCTTTATTTTTAGGTAAATGCCTTCTAACTTCAAAACCTTCAGATGTTTGTAGATGCAGAAAAGGAAGCAGATATTAAGCCAATGAGGATGTGCTGAAGTCTCATCATGGAATAGCTGAAGACTAACTAAATGTGGACAAAATAGCCTTGACTTTATAAAATCTTCTCGACTGGAGCAAATGGACAACCGAGGTGGGTTGGGATGCTCATTAAATGTCGAAAGCTCATCATATCCTCGCAGAACCTGAAGAAAATTCTTTGCCTTTGCCTCTGTCTTACAGAACTCAAGTATCAGATCGTGAATGTAACAAGTTTTGACTCCACCAATGGATTTGCTTTCACTTACCATAACTAAGTTTCGACCAATAAGATCCATCAGATATTCTTCTGCAATGACCTCTGATCTCTTTCCTTCAATTTTTTTCACAAACCCTTCTGCAATCCAGAGACGCATCAAATTCTTGGCACCAATTTTTTCATCTTCTCGAAATGCAGCAAAATACAAGAAGCATGCCTTCAAGTGATATGGTAAATGCTCATAACTGAGCTCCAACGACTTCTTGCACTGGTCTGTACCAGACACCATGGTTAAAGTTAAACTTTTAGCAAATTCTTCCCAAACCCAAATATCATGCTCTATAGTTGCTAGGACTCCAGCTACAACAACAAGTGCAAGTGGCAATCCCCTGCACTTTTCGGCTATCTCCATTCCCAACCCATGCAATGCTTGAGGACAATCTTCTTTTCCAAATACCTTCTTCTGCAGTAATTCAAAACTTTCTTTCTCACTGAGCGGGCGAAGATAGTGAGGTTTCCCCCCATATTCAACCTGTGAAGCCACATTAGAAGATCGACTCGTGAAGATGATTCTACTTCTATTCATTTCATCTGGGAATGAATATCTCAACTCATTCCATGCCCTAAAGTCCCAGATATCATCAAGAACAACAAGATACCTATTCCTCTTCAGCTTTTGATAGAGCTTTTGAAGCAAGTCATCTTCATTCAAGTCATCCATCCTAGAGTGTTTTCCATCAGAGCACAAAATTTGTGTTAACAAGCTTTTCTTGTTATATTCTTGAGAAACAGTACACCAAAGGCGAATGTGGAAGTTATAGATAATTGAATTATCATTGTAAACCTTTTTGGCTAAAGTTGTTTTACCAAGCCCAGCCATTCCCACAATGGGAACAATTTCCACCTGTTCTGTTCCGCTTACAAGTCGTTCAATTACTTTTTCTGCCTCATCATCAAGACCAACCATGACTTCATGGGCTATTGGCATTTTTCCTTTCGATGGCATGTGCCTGGAAGGCTTGCAAACATGTTGTACACTTAAGCTATGAGAGGAATTAGGAAGACTCTCTATAGTGCTTGAGCCACTGATCTGATCCTTAAAATGCTTAAGATTGATGTTGGTATTGGCCAGCATATCACAAAAATCAAGAACCACGGTGGATTCTAAGAAGCTAACTTCTCCTTCTATCACTCTGTTCAGAGTGGGCGAGAGTATTATAATCCCTGCCTCACTAAGGAAAGCTCCAATTTTTTCATTTTGTTCATCCATTTTCTCCTGATGCTCCCTTAAAATGCTTCTCAAGAATCTCAGTCCAGCATAGAGCATGTGCATTTCATCTTTCATAGAATCCATAAAACTTAAACTGTAGCATAACAGCTCCCAGAGACAACTTATAAGAGAATCATTGAAGTTGTTCAATATCTGCTTATCATGCACCATTGGTGTATGTAATGATGCTGAGCAGTATGAAGCTCTAAGCACTTCCATATAAGTCTCATAGACATGAAAATCAACAGCTCTGATCTTCTGTTGTTGATCATATATCATGGAGTAGAACTGAGGATTGTGCATTTCCTCAGCATCATCCCAATAAGAGCACATGTAAGAGAGGCGTGCTGCGTTCAAAGCCACCACTTCAAAGTGCGCCAATAGCGAGGCAGGAATATCTGCAGTTCCTCGCATTTTGGCAAAGGGAATGAAGCTTTTCAAGAATGTCAGCTTTGCTTCAAGGGCTTGGACTTGAGCACTCAAAGCAGCAGAAATAGACGATTCACTAATGTTCCGATCCATATAGCCATTCGTCAAATCTGCTAGATTTTGGAGGATGAGGTCTATGAATTCCAACAGTTCATCACCTGTCATACAAGAATTTGATTGCAATGACCTGCTGCTTGCCAAAGCAAAGTAAATTTGGATGATCTCTTGCTTAAGTAATTTGATCTGTTTCTCAATTTCGAGGAACACTCCATATTTGTCCGTTTCTGATCTAAGGGAAGGAGAGTGAATATCCTCCTCATATTCGTGAAAGGTATCTTCGATGCAAGATAAGAAAGATGGAATACTCACCTTCTTCACAATATTTTCAGATTTCAAGTACAAATCATTGCTTTGGCTCCACTTTCTAGCACACATAAGAAATGTTTTGAGAAATTTCATGTGTTTGATTGAACCACGAACATCGTAAGGAACATACCTGTCTCGGAATCTGTTTAGAAGCAACTCTAGATCAAGGAAGACACGATCGCTGCTGCAAGTGGAGGCCATCTCCATCTCTTATGCAGGGATTTTCGTCAATTTCACTCTCGAATTCTAAGAGAGAAACAAATCTCACTAAGTGCAGAGCTAGCAAAGTATTTCTTTCCTGAAAATTACTTATTTGTTTCTGCTGAGAAGGTGAAGAAGAGTATTGAGATAATCAACCATTCTTTTTTTTTTTTTTTTGGTCAAAAAGATAATCAACCATTCAACTAGGTGGAATTGGCAGCAACGTGGACCCCAACTATGATAATCAATTATTCAACTAGGTGGAATTGGAGCTAGGCACGTATTGGGTTAAATTGGCTTCACCCAAAATCCAAATTTATCTTGAACTAATTACAAATGAAAATTGATAAAATTAGTTGACTCTGTCATCAACATTCATAAAAGCCTATGTTTTAGTCGCGTTGATTCACAATAACGGTAGTGATTAGGGGGATTTAAGACACTTTGATGATTCTATTGTCCAAAGCAAGAGCGGTCTGGCCGGAGGGCTAATTACTTAGAATATTGTAAAAAAAAAAAAAAAATCGGAGCTGATAGGAGCCTGATATCAAATTATTGGTGCCGGACTGCTGACACAATTTATTTATTTTTTTTAAAAAGATCAGTGTCAGCCCGACGGCCAGTCAAAAGTTTTTCTTTTCTGCCAGTCTGGCAGCCAGTAAATTACTACTCAAGACAAAGTAGAAAAATGATAGGAATCTATAGTTGGCAGCTTGAAACGAGGAGGGAGAGGGTAATCCTCTATTTCGGGTGTGAAGGGGGGAAGCAGGTTTCTAATCAAGCAGAAATGGTAAAGGAGGAAACAGCAAATCCTTCTCAGGAAGGAAGTAAGAATAGAATCCTACCGGTTCCTTTACTAGTTATATTTCAAATGAGAAAAGTCTTTACTTTACTTGAAGCTTAGTAAGGGAGTCAATAGACTAATTGACTCATTCTGTAACATAGGAAAAGAAAGGGGATGGTCTCAGAATCTTACCTAAAAAAGATCAAAGGTGCTCTGAAAATAATTGTTTTGATACAATATTCCCTTACAATTTAGTAAATATTCCCTTACAGTAGGTTATATTTACAATATTCCCTTATTTAATACAATATTCTCTTACAATTAAAGTAGTAAATATAACCTACTTTATTTAATACAGTCAACTTTTCCACCAACAATTGTTTTGATATATGTCTTGAATGGTATTATAAGTAATGTAAAGGTATAGTGATTAGTGACACTTCAAATATTAATGTAAGGGTATTTTAGAAAAACATTAGACTATATTTACTTTTTCATCAAAATTAACTAATTTTTTAAAATTAGTCTAGAAAAAAACCAAGACTATCAAAGTAGGACAGATGGAGTATTACTCAGCAAACTTCTTATATTAGTTCAAGAAATTCAAAATAAATATTCAAAAATAATTGGTATAACTTTACATAGCTGCGAAAAAAAATTAAAACTATCAAAATGGGACGGAAGAAGATTTGTCAACAAACTTCTTTTATTAGTTCAGAAAATTTCAAAATAAATATTCGAAAATAATTGGTATAATTTTACATGGCTTTGTGAAAGGTATGGCCGACTTTTAAAAAAATGAAAGAAAGAAAGAAAAAAAACCATCCTGTACCACAGCTTGGTTATAACGAAGAGAAAACTTTATTCATTCACAAACTTTGAGAATGTCCTTTATTCATTCAATGAATTTTTTTTTTTCTTTAACTTTTTGCAGCTGTCAACGCAGCCAGTCAAAGAAAAACTTTTGACTGGCCTTTTAAAAAAAAAAAAATTGTGTCAAGGCCGTGAGTGTCTGAATTTTTTTTTTGACAATATTTTAAGTAATTAGCCACGCATCAGCCCCCTCTATTATGCATTTATATTGCCTCAATAAAGCAAAAAAGAAAAAACCACTTGCAGACACATTCAAGTGGTACATTCAAGTGGTGGGCTCAGTGGTACAACAGAAAACAAAGAAACATCAAAATAAATGATCCAAGAGACATCAAAATATAAATGATCAAAATATAATGAACCTTCAAGCTAGCTCTCTAATTTTCTTCAATTGTTTTCTTTCTTGAGCAAATCACTAAATTTGATCACTTTCTCTTCTAATTCTCTCGTATCAATAATCATGACCAACAAAGTAAAAAGTATATGAAAAAAAAATTGAGGGCTTCTTCAACCCTTGATATTGTGGAAGCAGAGAATTTGAGATTTCTGCAATTATTAGTGTCAATTATATCATAAAATAGATGCATTACAATAATAAATGTAAACTCTAAGATAATAAATATAAACAGTAAAATGATAACTTGCAAAATTAATGTTACCAATATACAACGGCCAAAGAAAATGATCGGATTAAAGAAGTGAAAATTGCTACTAATTTGTAGTAGTACTTCTTTTCAAGAGTTCGGACTTAAATGCATGCTAATTATTTGTACAAAATTATCTACTTATTTCATAAACACATTTTTTAATTATTTTTTTTATTATATATATATATCACATCAAAAAAATAATAAAATATTTTTTAAAAAAAATTATTCCAAATAATCTCATATTCAAACACAATTATACGCCTGTTTCAGTGTTTCTTGGGCCATTGGAAATTAATTGAAGTCTTCTCACTAGTGGTCCATTTGGAAAGCCAGAGAGATGGGGTACATTTTAACATTAGTACTGATCGTCTATTTTCAATTCCTTCAAGAAAAATATTATAATTAATATCTACTTACATATGAGCTCCATCAGATCCGATCAATGCAAGCGGAGGTCATCTCCGTCTCCGTCTCTTATAATGCAAGGAACTTCCTCAATTTCACTCTCAAATTTTAGTGTCGCATAAAGAGAAATATTAACAAATCTCGCCTTCTCCACATCTGACAAGAATATTCAATTATTCAACAAACAAACGGAGCAAGAAAGAAAAGATTAACAAATAACAACGTAGTGGTGACAGTAGTGTAGGAATTACGTGAAAGTTGCATCTCGGTTTGGAAAAGCAAAGAATTTTGTCTTTTTATAATTTATAATTAGTCATCTATGTTACCTTTATTTTGTCTTTTTTTTTTTTCTTTTTGTTGAAAATTCAAGCATTGCTGTTCAATATGCACGCTCCAAAAATTAATCTTATAATCCAAAAATCAATAGCTAGTTTTTATTTTCAAAAGAAAATAGTAAAATGACTTCAATAGAGATTTTAGTTTGATGGAATCTTTGACTTGAGTTTATATAATTACTAACAAGGGCCTTAAGCCATGAACAAAGAGTACAGAGGAGTCAGCATCGGTCCGTGATTTACGTTTCACGGGTCCTAATAGATTTGTAACCCGAATCGGTTCTATTGGTTCGACAAAAAATTAAATCATAACTGTGTTCATGGTCATAAAGTACTCGAATGATTTGGCAAAGCGGTTCACGGACCCGGAGGTACTAAGACTCAGTACCAAAGTTAAAAAAGAAATCACATTTTCATAATTGAGAATTAGAAAATAAGTAAACACCTAAAAGACTTTATTTAAATATAATTCATTATTTGTTAAGAAAGATCAATACTTGCATATTCATAGTAAAAACATGTTTGTAAATATCACTTATTCTCAGCAACAAAAGCTAAATATATTATATAATTAGCAAGTTAAGACTTTTATATTGTTGAGATAGTCAAGTATATCATCTCAAATATAAATATTTGATTAAAGATGATTATATATTCCTCTATTAATTTTAGTTTTAATGGACAAAATTATAAGTATATCCTTACATATGAATTGGGTCAGGTATCTGCGATTTGAATTGCGACAAGACATACTCCCTTGTTAATCCTGCTACCCGAACTACACATATTAAAACCGATTCGAGTATCCCAAATTGCGGTTCAAAAATCAATATTTACGATTTTTTGGGTTTCTCTCATCAAAATAAACAGCCTGTGTTACATAAACTTGCAAATCTTTAATACTTACAATCAAACAAAAATTTATTCCTATCGTACCATAGAACCCAACCGACAACGGGAAAATGAGGAAACCGAAGAACATTAAAGCGGTTAACAGTTGAGAATTTTTTACAACCAAAATTTAGCCAACTAATGAAATCTAATTGAGCCACCCAAAGAAGGGGAATTGATAGGAAAAGATGTAGCCATCCAAAGACATGGGGCTTCAGGACGCTCCTAATTATGTGTTTAGATTCCTTGCCCGCACAAAACGCAGGAGTTCTATCGAGGCCATCGATCCTTTCGATTTTTACCTCAATCTTCCACAAAAGCACCAGAAAAAGCCAGATCATACAGATGACCAATTACAATCTCGAAGAAAAACTGCTACGTACCGTAGCACTCCCTGATGATATATCATCAAGAAGAAATAGAGCAGTAATTAGTTGTTTGTTCATCAATTTCATTAGCAAAAGGAAAAAAAAAAAAAGAGCATTTAATTAGTGGTTTGTTCATCAATTTCAATGTAAATATAAATAAACTCCTTTAAATGAAAAAAGCATGATTATTTCTACAAGCCAATTAATGGTAACAACAAAAAAAATTACCTGATATTTGCACCAGCTGAGGCCCTTCAATATTTTCTATAAATGATCTTCAGATTCTCATTTCCATTATATTTCTGTGCTTCTTCAATTTCCCGTACTAAAGATTTGACGCCATCTCCGCAAAAACTCACATTAATTGTTTCAAGAGTTGATATACGCCCTAAACAAGCAGGCATCATTTCCAAATAAGAAATTCCGTCGAGTTCTAATTGCTGAAGGCACGGGAAGTAATCATCACTGTCAGGGTCTGTCTCTATCCACTCAACAATCGCTACACATTTCAAAGTCAAGACCCTGAGTTTAGGTAATCCTCCTTCCATCAGCTCCCATTTTCGGCCCTCCATTGACTGGACTCTTAATTTGAGGACTTCAAGATTGGGTAGTTGTTCAATCAATGACATTTCTCTACAGGGAAGACCCAGAGCTTCAAGACTCAACTCTTTCAAATTCATGGGAAAAGAAAGCTCAACATGTTCCACTGAGCCTAAGAGGCAGAAGCCCCCTAAGGTGACTGACTCTAGGCATTCTAGTCGACTCATGTTGCAGCATACTCTGTTTTGATCCCCCAAATGGAAAATTTTAAGTCGGCGAATGTTGGGAATCCTTCTCAACAGTTTCTCTCCTTCTTTATCAAGATAAAGACGCAGAGTAGAGAGTGTGTCTAAATTAGGTAAAGTAGAGAGGTTTTCAACAACATTGTCATTGGAAGAGAAAGGAATAACGACGCCATGCCTTACATGTACATGCCTCAACTTCTTCATGTTCCAGATGCTATCTGGCAATGAAACCATCTGGTGAGAATATAGACGAAAGGTTTCCAAATGTGAGAGCTTGGCTATAGATGGTGGAATGAATTCCATTTTCCAAGCTCTAAGGGCTAAGTACCTCAAACAAAGAAGTGATTCAACTTCAGCTGGAAGCTCCTTCAGCCTTAGCATAATGCCCTCTAAATTCAAAACTTTAAGTTGTTTGTAGATGCAAAAAAGGAAGGAGATGTTACGCAACTCAAACTTATCTCCTGGAGTAGCATCAAAGAATAGCAGAGTACCTAAATATGGACAAAATAGCTTTGACCTTATAAAATCTTCTCCACTGGAGCAAATGGACAACCGAGGTAGGTTGGGAGGCTCATTAAAGGTAGAGAGCTCATCATATCCTCGCAGGACCTGAAGAAATTTCTTTTCTTTAGCCTCGCCCTTACAGAACTCAAAAATCAAATCGTGAATGTAACAAGTTTTGACTCCACCAATGGATCTGCTTTTACTTACCATAACTAAGTTTCGACCAATTAGGTCCATCAGATATTCTTCTGCAATGACCTCCGATCTTTTTCCTTCAATTTTTTCCACAAACCCTTCTGCAATCCATAGACGCATCAAATTCTTGGCACCAATTTTTTCATCTTCTCGAAATGCAGCAAAATACAGCAAGCATGCCTTCAAGTGATACGGTAAATGCTCATAACTGAGCTCCAATGACTTCTTGCACTGGTCTGTACCAGACACCATGGTTGAAGTTAAACTTTCAGCAAATTCTTCCCAAACCAAACTATCATGCCCTATAGTTGCCAGAACTCCAGCAACAACAACAACTACTAGTGGCAATCCCCTGCACTTCTTGGCAATCTTCGTAGCAATTCCACACAATGCTTGAGGACAATCTTCTTTTCTAAATACCTTCTTCAGCAGTAATTCAAAACTTTCTTTCTCACTGAGTGGACGAAGATTGTGAGGTTTCCCGCCATATTCAACCTGTGAAGCCACATAAGAAGATCGACTCGTGAAGATGATTCTACTTCCTTTCTTTTCATCGGGGAATGAAATTCTCAGCTCATTCCATACCTTAATGTCCCAGACATCATCAAAAACAACAAGATACCTCTTCGTCTTCAGCCTTTGATAGAGCTTGTGAAGCAATTCATGTTCATTCAAGTTTTTAAGCTCTTTGTCCATCCTTGACCGTTTTCCATCAGAACACAAAATTTGTATTAACAAGCTTTTCATGTTAAATTCTTGAGAAACAGTGCACCAAAGACGAATGTGGAAGTTACAGATTACTGAACTGTCATTGTAAACTTTTTTGGCTAAAGTTGTCTTACCAAGCCCAGCCATTCCCACAATAGGAACAATTTCCACCTGTTCTGGTCCCCATATAAGTCGTTCAATTACTTTTGCTGCCTCGTCATCGAGACCAACCATGACTTCGTGGGCTATTGGCATTTTACCTTTTGATAGAATGTGGCTGGAAGTCTTGCTAACTTCTGGTGCTCTTAAGCTGTGAAAGGAAGGAAGACTTTCAATAATGCTTGAGCCACTGATCTGATCCTTAAAATGCTTGATATGGATGTTGGTATTAGCCAGCATATCATAACAGTCAAGGGCCTCTGTTCTTTCTGAGAAGCTAACTTCTCCTTCCTTCACTCTGTTTAGAGAAGGCAAGCAAATTATAATGCCTGCCTCACAAAGAAGAGCACCAATTTTTTCGTTTTGTTCATCCATCTTCTCCTGCTGCTCCCTTAAAATGCTTCTCAAGAACCTCAGTCCTGCATAGAGTATTCGCATTTCATCTTTCAAAGAATCCATAAAGCTAGAGCTGCAGCATAACAGCTGCCAGAGACAACTTATGAGAGAATCATTGAAGTTTTTCAATATCTGCTTATCCATCATTCTATTATGCAATGATTTTGAGGATCTTGTAGCTCTAAGAACTTCCATATAAATCTCATAGACTTGAAAATCAATAGGTGTGATTTTCTGTTGTTGCTCATATATCATGGAGCAGAACTCAGGATTGTGCCGCTCCTTACCATCCCAAACAGAGCACATGTAAAAGAGGTGTGCTGCGTTCAAAGTCACCACTTCAAAGTGAGCCAATAGCAAGGCAGGAATATCTGCAGTTCCTCGCAATTTGGCAAAGGGAATGAAGTTTTTCAAGAATGTTAGCTTTGCTTCAAGGGCTTGGAATTGAGCACTAACTTGGGGATCCATATCATCAATAATACCCAAATAGACAGTTGTTAAATCCGCTAGATTTTCTAGAATGAGGTCTATAAATTCGATTAGTTCATCAACTGGCATGCAAGAATTTGATTCCAATGATCTGCTGCTTGGCAAAGTAAAGTAAACTTGGATGATTTCTTGCTTAAATGATTTGATCTGTTTCAAAAACTCAGAAAACACTTCATAGGGAACACGACCTAGGCCACTGCCATCAAATGCTGATATATCATGGCAAAACGAGTACTGAAAGTCCTCCTCATATTTGTGAACGTTATCTTCAATGCAAGATAAGAAAGATGGAAGACTCACCTTCTTCACAACATTCTCAGATTCCAAGTACAAATCATTGCTGTGGCTCCACTTTCTTGCACACATAACAAATGTTTTGTGAAATCTTATATCCAGGAACGCAGCTCCAAAATTGCATTCTTCAAACGCATTGTACCCGAAACGGAGCATGGATTTTTCCTCAGTTTCACTCTCAAATTTTAAGGGAGAAACAGATCTCGCCGACTGCAGAGCAAGCAAGTATTTCTTTCCTGAAATTTCTTTTTTCCCGTGGGAAGGTGAAGAAGAGAAATGAGATAATAAATTATTCAACAGACAAACGGAGCAAGATCAGGAAAGAACAGATGAATCAAAGTTAACGAGAGAGCGGTCAAATAATCTGGAAATGATCTTGGTCTGAATAAAGTTAAGAAATTTTATTGACTACTACTGCATAATTTTTTGGAGTTTTTTTTTTTTAATACCCGTTTCGTTGTTGAGAAGGACCGGTCTGGCATTGCACCCCACACTGGCTTTTCGTTCTGAAAGAAATTTTTTTTTTATTGGTTTTTGGACTATTAATGTGGCATTGCACCCCACATTTAGACTATTTATGCCGTCAATTATGACGGCTAATCCTTAGACTGTTTAAGAAGCATTTTTGCTAACTAAACCCACACTAGTTGCTCATCCCTTCCATCACACCCCAATACACACACACACACACACATATATATATATATATGTATGTATGTACATAGGTAGTGTCAAAATGACACACATTGTCCTCCGTGGTGGAATTAGCTAATCTTTGTGGTTACTAAATATTTTATCTGGACATTAAGGTATTCTTGACATTTCGTTTGGCTTCATTGTCGTGGGCTGTTTTTGTTATTTTGATATTTCAGTCCAAAATATGGAAAAACTTATTTATAATATTTAAAATTATAGAAGATTTACATGAAAAGTGCTGAAGCTAAATAAATTTAACCAAGATTTGTGCCTTTCATTAGGTAAGACTTTCTTACATGTTGGCCTGGTTACCATAGTCCAAGAGAGAAAAAGAAAAGAAAGGGGCCAAAAAGGAAAAAGGAACTTTAACTTTCAATTGATAGTTTCTTTCAAAATTCAAGTAGTGTTGCTTAATAAGTTTTACATCCTATGATTGCAAACAACATAATTTTACAAAATAACAATTTTTTTTTATCTGTAATTGCTAAGAAAATTGTAAAATGACTTTATTAGATAATTTTATCGGCTCAATGGATTCTCTAAGTTGAATGAAAATAATTACATCTTAACAAAGTCCGCAAACCTTGATATATGAACAAGCAAAACTATAAAATACAAGTCAATTAACCGCAAAAATCCTTAGTAAACTCCATTTTTTCACCCTCCCCCCTTGTTAAGATTGCTTGACAAGCAATCAATTTCACTTTACACCCTTTTGAATGATTTCCACTTTGCATCTCAAATTTTTATTTCTGGATAGTTTGCACTTTAAAATTACTAATTACCATGAAATTGCACCTTAAAATTTATTTTGGATATTTTGCACCTAAAGTTAATAATCCATCCAAAATTACTGTGGTTTCACACAATATTAATGTCATTGTAGGAGCAATATGCACCTATACACTGGCTTCTTAACTGTAAAAGTGGGATTGGTTCATCAGAATGTCCCTCAAAAAAAAAAATTAATAAAAGAGTGAATACATATGCGTGTTAGAGCACTTTCACTTGCAAGAAGTTTGATGACTTTAGGATTTGAGACAGTTTAATGATCTGGAATTAGCACCCACCAAGAATGGTCTGGACTGATCAGCCTCCTTCCTATTATATTCATCAGCAAACAAACGAATAAATTATAGTGTAACCCCATACAATTTAGTGCATTTTCGTATAATCATAGTGTGGTAAAATGTATATGACTCCACGATTTGAAGCACATTGTCAAAATGACGGATATCGTCCTCTGCGTTGGAATTAGTTAAAATGTCAAAATTATTTATATTAAAACCCTAAAATGATTTTATTAACTAACGTTGAAACTCTAAGATTTAGAAGTCTTGGAATCTAATTCTCCTTCCTCCTCTCCGCTTTTGAAAAAGAAATCCTATTTCTTCCTTGTTAAAAAAATGTTAATATATATATATATATATATATAAGATAAATTACACTTTTGTACCTTGAAAAGTTATTCATAACCATCAGGCCACTTTACCATCCTCTGCGTTAGATCTCCATCAATTCTAATATTAATTTCCTTGACTAACTTTATGTCACATGAATTTAATCAAAAGTCGATCTACTAAAGGGCCAGATAGAAGGATGTTGGCAGCATCAGAAGTCTTCAACTGATCCAACAGGCCTATTTCTGCTGGAATTTGACCTGTTAATTGGTTGTTGTTAAGTAGTAGGGTATTTAGAAATGTACAATTTAAAAGTTTACAGGAATCTCACCTTTTATAGAAACAGATCTCACCGACTGCAGAGCAAGCAAGTATTTAGTATTTCTTTTGGAGTTTTTGACAAGTGATAGGTTGCAATTTATCTATTTATTTTATTATTAATTTCCTCTGTTACCTGACCCGATGTGGATTAATTATTAGATTCTACTCATTTTTCGTAATTTGCATTTATTTCAGGGAGTAGAACGAAAATATAACAACGGGTGCCAATTTGACAGAAAAGAAATCCAGATGATAGAGCTTGTCCCAGGGGCATTTTTGGAAAAGAAGATGTCACGCCCACTTTGATAATTTCCGCAAAGAAATGACGGATGAAGGGCTTCTTCCTCCTGGTTAGGGATGGCAACGGGGCGGGGTTGGGGCGGGGGACGAGAGACCTATTAGTTCCCCCCGTCCCCCGCCTCCCACTCCCCCTGCCCCGCCCCGCCCCCGCCCCGCCTTGCCCCGCTTCCCCCGCGGGGGCACCCGCGTTAATAAAATTTTATTATATAATTTTATTATAATTAAATTTTAATAAATAATCAAGTACTAAAATATCAACACATCACCAAATTATTATTCATTGTAATTTTACAATTGAAACTCATAAAAACAATCAAACAGAAGTTATTTGAATACAATCCAATATGATGAAATAAATATAACTAAAATAGTCAAATTTTCACTTTTAGTACAAATGCAATCACTAATTCATTATTGTGTTTGTGCTTTTTTTTGAGAAAAAAGTGTTATTCTATAAAGTGTAATTAGAAATTTAGTATAAATGTATTAGTAAATTTAGTATAACTAATTAATAAATTCTATTAGTAGACATGTATAATTATTCATATAATTGATAATATCAATTATATTACATAAATTAATATACATTATATAATACATCTAACTAATAATATAATTATCATAAGTTTATAACTAATTAACTTACATATAATATATAGTCATTTATATATATATATATATATATATTTTTTTTTTTGCGGGTGGCGGGGCGGGGGATGGGGCGGGGGAGTATACCCCCGCCTCCCGCCCCGTTTCTAAGCGGGGGGAAAAATTTCCCCCCGCCCCCGCCCCACCCCCCGCCCCAACCCCCGCCCCGTGAGCCCCCCGCGGGCACCCGCCCCCATTGCCATCTCTACTCCTGGTGAGCCGCCGCAATAAAGGAGGAAAAACAGGATCAGATGGAGGCGAGCTTAGTTTTAGTTTTCCGTCTGTAGCTTAGCTTGAGATTGTTGACTTTTCCCTAAAAATGTTTTTTGCTTGTCATACGCATGGCAGGCATTAGAAATTGGTAGCTTTTGACTTTTCTTCATGTTAAATGCTTAGAGTTTTTCTATCTTTCCTGGTATGCCGTCCGTAGTGAGGCAAAGGATCATTTCGTGTAACTTTGCTATCTCCTCCTGGTTGGAGCGGATTGAGTTCTAAAAAATCAATGACAATGGCCGCAGATTTATCTTCAATTTCCCGTGGACTTAGTTCATCAAATATGAACTAATTTCCTTCCTACTAGTCAAGGAGCAACGAAGGCTTTGGTTCGCTTAAAAATTATGAGATAGATTTAATTCAATCTTTTCATTTTATTTATTGGTATCCGCATATTTCTTGATTTCTATGCTCATGGTTATTTAATTAATTGATTGTTTTGGATCCGGATAACTAATTGATTTGGTAACCTATCGTCAATTAGGGCATTAAATCCGTAATTGTTTAATTGTCCTGAAATAGTGATAACTGGCACGATTAGATTCGTGTCAGGGGGATACGCAGGCTAATCTGAAATAACTCTGGTAGTGCGTTATTTGGTTAGAATAGGGTTCCTCTAATACGTAAGGCAATTGGGGAATTAAATCTTACGGGCGTACCTAGGATTATTTCCTAATTAGAGCAGTGATTAACGGGCGTACCTTAATCACCGACACAGTAAGGAGGAGTTGACTGTCATCCCCTGGTTGGCAGTTATAACCTATTTATTGATAAATAATCGGAATTGCCTTTATTTCAATGATCAATTAGGTGAACCATTGCTGAAGTTACTTTTTTGCTAGATCTTTAGTTAATATTACCTTGATTTTAGTGAAGTGCCATTTGACTTTTAGTTGCCTACTTTATTTTATTTTTAATTGTTTCCTTGTTTTAATTGATTTAGGCCTTTAATTATTGTTATTCTAAATTCAGTGAATTGTGGTTTAATTTCTAGTTAGTTATTTATTTTTATTTTCTTATTTGAATTTATTTGATTGCTGTCGTTCCTACAAAATCACCCCCTGTGTTATTTTGAATTTCTTAAGAAACAAATATATCCAGTCCCTGAGGATACGACCCTACTTGCCCTGTCTACAAATTCATAATTATTTGTGAAAGAAATAACCATCCCATTCGGGTATATCGGATTAAGCAAACTCTTCGGGAACAAGGTGAATCAAGTAACCCATTGCACACCTAGAGTCCCTGCTCCAGTACTTGGAATTGGGTCTTGGTCATTTTAACTGGCAATTAGGTTTAATTTTATTATTGTGCAGGCTTCGACACCCTGTCAATTTTTGGCGCCGTTGCCGGGGACTGGCGTTATTATTTGTTCCTTTTTAAATTCATTCTTTTTTTTTCCTTTTGCTCTAATTTTCTGGTATTTTTCTAGTGCATGCCTTGGTCTTCTCGTACAGGTGATTTGGTTTTTGACCCTGAGGTAGAGAAGACTGCGCGTAGAATAAGAAAAGAGACCAGACAGCTCAGAGAGGAGCACTCCTGTGCTACATCTCGGAGACCTGAGTCAGAAGCTGAACCAACAGATTCATTTGGTGACACTTCGAGTGACTCGGAGCAAGAAGAAATCCCCATGACTAATGCACGAACATTAAGGGAGTTGGCTGCTCCTGATTTAAATCAGCAGCCTTTATGCATTACTTTCCCAAGTTTGAGTGAAAACACTTCATTTGAATTGAAATCAGGTCTAATTCACCTT